GCACTTACTCACAAAATGCTTTCCTTAATATGTTTGCTCATTCTTCCAATTGATTCAAGTTCACAGTCACCCTGACTATTACTGTATACATTTTCAAGTCATTTTACTGCATAGTTTTGCAGAAAATTAAAGGCAAATTCACCCCAAGCATGAGTGCATAAGCACTTTTATATCATGTCCCATTTTCAAACCCTCATAAACATCTTTCCTTTATAGGTTTGCTCATTCTTTCAATTCATTCCTGTTCACAGTGACGCTGACTATTACTGTATTAATTTTCAAGTCATTTTACTGTATAGTTTTGGAGAAAATTAAAGGCTAATTCACCCCATGCACGAGTGCATAAGCACTTTTACATCATGTCCCATTTTCAAACCCACATAAAAATCTTTCCTTTATAGGTTTGCTCATTCTTTCAATTGATTCCCGTTCACAGTGACCCTGACTATTACTGTATTGATTTTGAAGTCTTTTACTGTATGGTTTTGGAGAAAATTAAAGCCAAATTCACCCCAAGCATCCGAGTGCATCCTTTCACTTTTACATCATTACCCATTTTCAAACCCTCATAAAAATATTGCCTTTATAGGTTTGCTCATTCTTTCAATTGATTCCTATTTACAGGGACCCTGACTATTACTGTATTAATTTTCAAGACTTTTTACTGTATAGTTTTGCAGAAAATGTATGGCAAATTCACTCCAAAAAAACAAAGTGCATTTCAGCAGTTGCACCATTACCCATTTTCAAACACTCATAACAATATTTGCTTTATAGGTTTGCTCATTCTTTCAATTGATTCCTGTTCACAGTGACCCTGAATATTACTGTATTACTTTTATAGTCTTTTTACCATATAGTTTTGCAGAAAATTTATGGCAAATTCACTCCAAAAAACCAAGTGCATTCCAACAGTTGCACCATTACCCATTTTCAAACACTCGTAAAAATATTTGCTTTATAGGTTTGCTCATTTGTTCAATTGGTTCCTGTTTACAGTCACTCTGACTATTACTGTATTAATTTTCAAGTCTTTTTACTGTATAGTTTTGGAGAAAATTAAAGGCTAATTCACCCCATGCATGAGTGCATAAGCACTTTTACATCATGTCCCATTTTCAAACCCTCATAAAAATATTTCCTTTATAGGTTTGCTCATTCTTTCAATTGATTCCTATTTACAGGGACCCTGACTATTACTGTATTAATTTTCAAGTCTTTTTACTGTATAGTTTTGCAGAATATTTATGGCAAATTCACTCCAAAAAACAAAGTGCATTCCAGCAGTTGCACCATTACCCATTTTCAAACACTCATAACAATATTTGCTTTATAGGTTTGCTCATTCTTTCAATTGATTCCTGTTCACAGTGACCCTGAATATTACTGTATTAATTTTATAGTCTTTTTACCATATAGTTTTCTAGAAAATGTATGGCAAATTCACTCCAAAAAACAAAGTGCATTCCAACAGTTGCACCATTACCCATTTTCAAACACTCGTAAAAATCTTTGCTTTATAGGTTTGCTCATTCGTTCAATTGGTTCCTGTTTACAGTCACTCTGACTGTTACTGTATTAATTTTCAAGTCATTTTACTGTATAGTTTTGGAGAAAATTAAAGGCAAATTCACCCCAAGCATAATTTTACATCAACTTTTACATCATGTCCCATTTTCAAACCCTCATAAAAATATTTCCTTTATAGGTTTGCTCATTCTTTCAATTGATTCC